AACGGCACAAATATCAAACCTTATCCCCTGCTGGCCTGCTACAGCCGCTACCGGTTCCACAGCTTGTTTGGGAAGATGTTTCAATGGACTTTATCACAGGATTACCCAAGTCTCAAGGGTTTGAAGTTATCTTTGTTGTCGTAGATCGTTTAACCAAGTATGCCCATTTTATTCTTGTTAAACATCCTTATACTGCTAGAAGTGTTGCTGAATTGTTTGTCAAAGAGGTGATACGTCTCCACGGGATGCCTCACTCAATTGTTAGTGATCGTGATCCTTTGTTCCTTAGTAATTTCTGGAAGGAGCTGTTCCGTTTACAAGGAACTGTCTTGAAGATGAGTACCTCGTATCATCCTCAAACGGATGGACAAACGGAGGTTGTTAATCGCTGCCTCGAAACGTATCTTCGCTGTTTTGCTTCAGAGCAGCCCAAGCTATGGTCTTATTGGATCTCATGGGCTGAATTTTCTTACAATACTTCGTACCATAGCTCTATTCACACTACCCCTTTCTCTACTGTTTATGGTAGGCCCCCTCCCACCATTACCCATTATTTGTTGGGTGAAACTCAGGTGGATGCTGTGGCAAGAGTGTTGTTTGACCGTGATGAGGCCCTACGTCAGCTCAAATTTCACTTAACCCGTGCTCAAAATTCCATGAAAAAACAAGCAGATGCTCATCGAAGAGATGTGACATTTGATGTAGGAGATTGGGTTTATGTGAAGTTGAGACCCCATAGACAAGTTTCTGTTTCAAGACGTATAAACCCCAAATTAGCTGCTCGTTTTTATGGTCCTTTTCAGGTGACAAACAAAATAGGGGTTGTTGCTTACAAGTTGCTGCTCCCAGAGGGGTCCCGCATACACCCGGTGTTCCATGTGTCTCAACTAAGGAAAGCCACAGGTGCAATTGCAGCGGAGGGTACTCTACCCGAAGGGTTGGCTGTGGATAGTACCCTTAGTCATGACCCAGAAAAGGTGCTGGCAGTACGCCACCTTAAGGATCAGGGCCGCCTGCTTGAAGAATGGCTAGTGCTTTGGAAATCCAAACCTGTTGAGGAGGCTACGTGGATGAAAGCGAGTGATATCCAGGGTCAGTTTCCCAATTTTTGCCTTGAGGACAAGGCAAAGTCTATAGAGGCAGGTATTGATAGCATTACAACAATAGAAGAGGCAGATCCACAAGTTACTGGACCAGAGGAAGAGGCAGATTCACAGCCCAAGCATAGGAAATGGAATGGCCCAATACTAGTATATCAAAGGAAGAATAAAAATAAGGGAGAGGGAAATAGTGACGTGTAATAGTTTGTTGCTCGTGTGGGTTACATGGGTGGGTGAAGAGAGAGAGTTAGTGGTAGTTTGTTATTTTGATCCTTTATATGTGACTGAGGTATTCTGTTAGAGAATTCATTCAGATTTTACATTCAATTTCTACAGGGGTAGGAAGGGGCTAATGGAGAGATCTCCATAGCTGGGAGCTTTGGCTCTTACGTATTTCTGTATTCAGTTGCATCTTTTCAATTAATATAAAAAGTACTTCCTCTTTTATAGATAGGAGGAGTTTAAACCCTATCACCCTCCCCCTTCATCAAGTCAACCTGCTTTCTCTCAAACTTAACATTCTTCCTTTCAACTATCCCCTCAACCTCATATACCATATTCAAACTCGTCCTCTTCTCCTATCCACACTTCTTCAGGTTCTAGATATATTCCCTCCTCTTCTTTTTGTCCACTTTCTCCAGTTCATTCTATGACTACAAAGTCTAAAAGACATGTTCCTTCAATTTTTATAGCTCGTCTAGAGCCAACAAGTGTTAAACAGGCCTTGACCAACCCACACTGGCTTCAGGCCATGCAATCTGCTCTCCAATTGGTTGTAAATGGGTGTTTAGAGTCAAGGAGAACTCGGATGGCAATGTCAACAAGTACAAAGCAAGGCTAGATGCCATGGATTCTCATCAACAACATGGCTTTAACTGCAACAATATATTTTCTTCAGTAGTCAAGTCCATTACCATTCGGGTTATGCTCTCATTGGCTCTTTCTAACGGCTAGCCATTACAACAACTTGATATTAATAATACTTTCTTGAATTGGGACCTTGTTGAAGAAGTTTATGTATCCCAACCACCAAATTTTGAAGTGGCTAATAAGTCCCTGGTGTGCAAACTACATAAAGCTCTTTATGGTCTTAGACAAGCCTTTGGAGCTTGTTTGGGAAATTTGGTCACTCTTACAACTTAAGCTTCAAATCTAGCAAATGTGACTCCTCTTCATCCTTTGATCTAATGGTCACTGCATCTACACTCTTGCTTATGTTGATGACATAATAATTATGGGCAACAGTTTAGACTTAATTCAGCAACTCATCAGTCAATTGAATTCAAATTTGCGCCAAAGCAGTTGGGCAACTTAGACTTTTTCCTTGGCATTGATGTCAAGCACCTTTCCCAAGGGAGACTATTGTTGTCCATATTTAAATATAATAGAGACTTGTTGGCCAAGTGGCTACACACTTGGTAAACATGGGTCTGATTATGTTCTAGATCCCCATCTTTATAGGTTTGTTGTTGGAGCACTCCAATATGGCACTCTAACTAGGTCTGAAATTGCATTTAGTCTAAAAAAAGTGTGTCAATTCATCCCTGGGAAGAGCACTAGTAGATTGTAAAAAGAATTCTGAGATACTTAAAAGACACTGTCTCATGGTCTATTACTCCACCACGTATCTCCAAAGTTGTCACCGTCTCTTGTCCTCTTTTATGATACAGATTGTGTTGCAAATCCAGATAACAGGTCAACTTCAATTGCATGCCTATTTTTGGAGTCCATTTAATCTCTTTTTGGTCCAAAAAGCACACCTTTGCAGGGGTGACAATTTTCAGCACGATCCCCTGACAAGACATGAAAAATTCGTGATCAGATTGACCCATTTTCAAATTCATATCGTGTTTGTGTTGGCAAAATCTAACACGGAACAATTTGTCATGTCATATCGTGTTTCAACTCGCAAACACGAAATTGACCAGCGTTAATCTTTTAATAGGTTATTCGTGTCTTGTCGTGTTATGTCGTGTCAACCCACATAATAAGCGACATCCTTTTGAGGTTGATAGGTTATTTGTGTCATATCATGTTGTGTTAACTCGCATAATAAGCGACACACACTGAAATTGGTAGGTTATTCGTGTCATATCGTATCAACCTGCAAAATAAGTGTGTAATGTTCATGTCAAGGTTTTGGACCCATTTTGAAATTCATATTGTGTTCATGTTGAATGTATTTATGTTAGTGTTAAATTCATGTCGTGTCGTGTCAACCCAAATTGCCACCCCTACATCTTAGTGGCTAGGTTAAGCACTGATGTCACATATCAAAGCTTGGCCCTCTCACATGACCCAGAATTGCACTCCCCAACTAAGCACATGGAACTTGATGTCTTTTTTGTTCGTGAAATGGTGATGGCCAAGTCCTTCATTGTCCAGCATATTCTAGCTCAACTTCAATGGCTTTTACTTTCCCCAAACCCCTTGCTGCACCTCAGTTTTCAGAACTCAAAGACAAACACAAGGTGTTGGATCATTCAGCAAATCCAACACCCTTGAAGTTTGTGGGGGTGTATTAGAGTAGTATTTACTCCTATATTGATCATTACATTACCTAGCTATTAATTGTTAGTATTAGCTCAGTTTGTTATGTATAGACAATAGTAGTTCTGTTATTGTACAGCTGGATTCAGTTGATGGTTACTCCTAACTCTAACGAACTTCTAGTTTCTAGTTCTGAAAGCTTGCTTATCATCTATAAATATCAGTTCGATACAGATCTGAAACTGAGAAAACTGGGTCCTGCACTTGGAATGGTATGAAAGAGGGTGATTAAAATTTCATGAGCTAATTGATCTTAGAAATATAGGAAATGATTTTTGAAGTCAACAGACATGCAGGTTATACTTTTCCTTCCGTTACAAAAATGAAGATGCCTTGTTTTTCACTCTGATTTTTGTTTTGAAAATGACAAGTTTGCCACTATATGTGTTCTACTTTGACGTTTGAGACCTTTTTATAGTTTTCACGAGGGAGAGCATTAGAGTAGCGGTAAGTTTGCTCTTTTGTGACCGGAAGCTCACAAGTTTGAGTTTTGGGAACCAGCCTCTTTGCAAAAATGCAAAGTTAAGGCTGCATCAATTGACCCTCACCACTTATGCTCGTAGGGGAGCCTTGTGTATTGGGGTTTGCCCTTTATTATATACTTTTCATCTAGTTTAGGTTCATAAATCTTGTTTTTGTACCTTGTGTAGTCTTTATTTGTCACTTGTGTAGTGTGTTTGTACGTTGCACATGCGGATCTAATAAAGTTGTGGGAAATTGGCGTAGTTGGATATTGTGTTCAATTAGTGGTATCCATGAGAGTGTGCATGACAACGATTATGTTTTCTGGCATCGCTGTGGTAAAGAAATATATTTTTGAATTTCTGTGCTTAGAAGAGTTTCTAGGCAAAAAAAAAAAAAAATGTTTGATAACCCAACTTACTTCTGTACCGAAATCGAAGTATGTATTTAATAAAGTGTTTTTAATAAATAGTATGTATTGACTGATGATAACACATTCTACATGTCTTTTTTTTTGGATAAACACATTCTACATGTCTGTATTTAATAAATAGTGTGTCAAGGAACAAAAAAGCTAAAAAAATTGTTTCTTATTTTTGCTAATTTGTTTCCCCGAGCAATCAATTCATTCTTTGGAATAGAAAAATTAATCGATTTTATCAAACGCCATTTCTAACCATTTTTGTTCCCTAGACTAAAAATAAAGAGGAAAAAAAAACATTTCTTGAGTTTGAATTCGATTCTATGCTTCAAGTATTCAGACATTTATAAGTTCTTGTTTATTTTTCCTTCATGCTGCATTGTTTTTAATGCCTATTTCTTGGTGATGCTTGCATGTTGATCATAAAATCTTTGTTGTCTTATGGTGGCTTCTGTTTTTTCTTGAAGGTATTATTCCCATAAAAATGATTATCTTGAAATTTGCCGTTGCTACAAGGCAATATATGAGATTCCATCTGTCAAAGAAGATCCTGCCGAGTGGATTCCAGTTGACTTTCCTTTCTTTCTCTTTATTTGATTTATCTCTTATTGTCAGATTGTGTCTTTATTTTTCGGAATATTTTCCATACATGTAGATCCTGAGGAAAATATGTTGGTACTTGGTTCTATCACCGCATGATCCTATGCAGTCAAGCCTTCTCAATTCCACCTTGGAGGATAAGAATCTGTCCGAGATTTCAAACTTTAAGTATGTCTTCCTAATTTTTGTCTTGCATGCCATCCTGCTGTGTTTGGATGTTTTGTTTTGATTATCCTTTCCTTGTCATTTGATGCACCCGTTATATGTTGTGCCATAGATTACTGTTGAAACAGTTGGTCACTATGGAGGTTATCCAATGGACAACTCTTTGGGATGCATACAAAAACGAGTTTGAGAATGAGAACAACTTAGGAAAATCTTTGGGTGAAAAAGCCGCAGAAGATCTGAGGGAAAGAGTAATTGAACATGTAATTGGCTCGCATTGTTATGTTTCTTTTGCCTCCTCCCTCCCTCCAATATTATGGTTGGGAGGTATTGTAGGATATGCCTTGTTTTTCGCACTTCTTGATTTATGATTCTAGCATTAATGTGGAGTATTGATGCTACCTTGTCAGAATATTCTTGTTGTATCAAAATACTATGCAAGGATTAATTTGAAGAGACTTGCAGAGCTTTTGTGTCTCAATATTCAGGTTTGTGATGCTCGTTATGATTATGTGCTGCAAGTTTTATTCTGGTAAATAATTGTTTTAAATGTGTTTGGGCGTGCCTCCTAGTGTATGTCGCTCTATAGTGTTTCTGATAAATAGCCAAGATCTTTCACAATAGCCTGTGAGAAAGAAGAGGATGGGGGGCTGGGGTTGGTATGCTGCTTTAGTTCATTTTCCTCCTCAAACTGGTCATTTTATTGTTTCTTAAAGAGCTACTTGTGAATATAGATATTGCAAACTGTACAAAATATTTTTTCTTTTAATATGAAGATCCTAATTAATTCTCCATCCAAAAATTCAGGTAGCTGAGAAGCATCTTTCAGATATGGTTGTGTCTAAGGCACTGGTGGCAAAGATTGATAGGCCTATGGGAATAGTTTGTTTCCAAACAGCCAAGGATAGCAATGACATTCTTAACTCATGGGCAGCAAACTTGGAGAGACTGCTTGATCTTGTGGAGAAGAGCTGTCATCAAATACACAAGGAAACCATTGTGCATAAAGCTGCTTTGAAGTTTTAAGAAGGTCCATATCACCGTTAAAATTTACAGGTACAGCATGTGTTCTTTTCCCCAACTCTCTTTCTCTGACCTCAAATTTCCTTAGTCATTGTTTTAAGAGGGAGTTTTTGACAAGGGAACTAAATTTTGTAATATATTGAAGTATCACGATGGTTCATTTCTGAAGTTTTCCCTTTTTTATCTAGCTGGTAATTGCAGGTGAACCCCAGTATCAATGTCATGTTGGACTGAAGATGCCTTATCAGGATGTTCGTTCGAATTGTCACAGATTAGGTTGGTGAGGAATTGCATTAAACAATGATGTTTTTTTTTTTTTTTTTTTCATTTTATATAGTCATTCATGCAATTAGGGTACAGCTGGATACATGCTTCTTAGTGTTGTATACAACTGGTACATGCCGTACCACTACTGTCTAATGACAGGATCCTAAATGGTCTTGTTTGTAGTTCAATGGGAAGAAATGGAATGCTTATTCGTTTATACTCGTAAATTTTACCGTGTTCCTTATGCTCACTATTTCCAGATTCTTGTGTATTTTGGTTCGCGTCTCGTTATTTTCCTTCGTTATAGTCTTTAAGCTGCATTTTCTATTGGGTACAGAAATTTGGAGTTTCTTAAGTAACTGCTTTTATTATGGCGAAGCATAGATCTGGTTTCAATATGAACCTGTGAATCGTATTCAGTAATCGGAGATAAAGGTGATTCTTGTAAGCTTTGTAGTTTATCCCAGGGCTGTTCGTGGCTATGAACGTATGGGGATCAATTTGGTTTATTTTACATGAACTTATTTGTGAATGGGGTGATTCGTGCAACAAGATCGGCCGGAGTTGAAGATAATTAATGGAAAATATCTTAAATATAAATGTTTTATGAAAAATAATTTAAAAGGTCAAAATATGACTACGCAATTACTCGTCATAAACGTTGAATGTCATATCATCAAACTACATATAAATTTTTTAATACATGATTGAGTCCATGGTCTGTATAGAAGTTATTATTGCTTGAAAGACTGTCTGTTACTTGCACGACATATCTTATTTTCGGTGTTCTACACGCCACTGAGCTCTTACGTGTGAACTTGTAGCTTAAGTGTGCGGTGTCTTTCTCACTTCCTCGTTTGAAGAGGACGTGTAAAGGCCAAAAAGGAAGCTTTAAAGGGAAAAATTGTTTAGCGTTACGTTGCTAAGACGCAAAGAAGAATTATATTGAAAGGCTTTGCGAACATTGGATTACACTTCGGATTACACTTCTTTTTGTTTCACTCAATTTAAAATTGATCTTTGCTTTACTCATGTGTTGTGTGCGTATGCGTTTTGCCTTGAATAATTCACCTCGGTGGTCTTCCTTTTGCGAACAAATTGTTGATTACGTAGTTGAGCAACAATGAATGCTCAATAGTCAACTCAGGATCGTTGCTGTCAAACTCATTGTTTAAATATTTGCTATCTTTATTTATAAAGTCGTATGCATGACTGTTTTGTGGAGGCATGTACATCTTTCATCTCGAGGTTTGAATGAAGAATCCAAGTTCAACAAGATGCAATCTTCAAACAATAATGAGCCGAACGAATGTTTGAATTTCAAGTTTTAATGAAGACTTTTGGATAATATAAAGGAAGAAAAGAATTACACGTTGTTTTTTGTTAGAAATTCACAACTAAACCATTAAATAGTTCCGTGGTTACAAAATTGTCAACAGGTATTTTTTTCCTGTCCTAGTTGTATAATTTATAAAACATATAAATAAAGGGATAAATTTTTCTAATGTTGTAGGAGATAAACTTATTTCCTAGATACATAAAAATGTGTGGAGCTATGTAAAGGAAAAAAAGGAGCTCTACACACTTTATATATATATATATATATATAATCATTTCTGCAGCCGCTTTACGTACAGCAACGACAAGTGTATAGTTATGATTCTCCACATTTAATGTTTTCATCCTTTGTATGGTTATGATACCTCGCATTTAATGCTTTCAAGTATATGTATAACAAATATTTAATTGTTGCATGTACAACAGCTGCAGAAATGTAAACCTCGTATATATATATATATATATAGAGGCAGGATCTTTTGACACCGGTGTCAAATTTAAAGTTTGACACCTCATGTAAGAGCCATTAGATCAAAAAAATATCAACAACTTTGATTTGTAAGCATGTGACACCATTGATTTTTTTTATCTAACGGCTCTTAGATGAGGTGTAAAAGTTCAAATTTGACACCGGTGTCAAAGGATCCTACCTCATATATATATATATATATATATATATATATATATATGAAATTAGTTTATCTTTTACAATACATTAATATGTAAAACAAACATGTCCTCAGCTGTCAGTTTTTATTGTAGATTTACTTCTCAAGAAACATCATCGTCATCTTAAATCATGAATAATGAATGGATTGACAAGCTTGTGAAACAATTACAAAGAAATGTAATAAAAATGTTTTTTTAAAAAATAAAATTACAGATTTGATAAAAATGGATCATCCCGAGGAAGAAGAGCTATAACTGGAAACTGACCAGGGCGGCAACTGAGTAGAATAAATTGAAGGAATTGAAGTGGCCTGCGAAGAAGTCATAGAGGAAACAAACGCAGAAGAAGAAGAAGAAGAAGCTGGTGGCGTTGACGAAGATTGAAGATGCGAAGCCATCGTAGATGTCATAATGAAACGATCATCATAAATGTTCATAGGGAAGTTTGAGAGGTGGAAATGCTCATAAATGTTGCTTGAAGGCTGAGAAGAGAAAAGAGCTTCAGAGTGAACAATTGGGTCAGTGGAAGTTGGAATAGACACAAGGGAAGTTGTAGAATTCGAAATGTTCCTTTGAGTCGTCGTAGGTTGCCGGAGAGTAACATTTTCAGGGAAATTGAGTTTGGCCTTGTTTCCTCTGAAACGCAGTGCAGCTTCATCGTATGCTCTTGCAGCTGCTTCAGCTGTGTCAAATGTACCTAACCAAACCCTCGCTGCTTTGAATGGGTCTCTGATCTCTGCAGCCCATTTACCCCATGGCCTCTGTCTCACCCCTCTGTACTTTCTCCTTGGTTCTCCCCTCACCACATTCTCTGTTGTTCTATATTCATACACAGCATTTCCCATTTCACCCCTTTCTGTTCTTGTGCTGCTGGTCGAATTGTTTGAACATTCTGCAACTATATTGTTGCATAGCATCAATAAAAAATAATAAGGTTTGTTTTTTAAGTTTACTCAAAAGACAGAACCACAAATTAATATACCTAGTAATATGTATGTGTACATATATATATAGCAACATACTTTGTAATGATTGTGCTGTTCTATTTAACAAAATAGAATTAAATAACATATTTATTTTAAACATGAACTAGAAAAAAAAAAAATTAAAGGAGTAAATGATCATGGATTCAGTTGAAGTCTAAATAAAATAAAAAAATTTAAGCAAGAGGGGTAGTAGTATGGATTGTAAAGATTTGAATTTGGTGCTTACTTGTTGGAATAGCAGGGGAAGAAGCAGCACCTAAGGAACTATCATCTCCCCTTCTTCTCTTGAAAGCAGAACTACCAACATAATCAGATGAAGAAGAAGACAAAGAAGGTAAGTTTGGTGTAACAGAAGGAGATGCATCACCACCACCACCTCCTCCAATTGCACTCGGTTGATCAAGAACCACATAATCACCGCTTGGAACCTCTCCAGAAACAACGTGGGTCAAAGCTGAGACCATAGCAGACATCTCCTTCTCCCTATTCATACCTGGAAACATCATTTGCATTGACAATGTTTGGTTGCATATCCCTTCATTGAATTCTCTGTTGTAAACCTTTTTTTGGCTTGTCTCTTGGATTCGCCACCTTTAACATACACATGTAAATCCAATTAAAGCTAGTTCAACAGCCCTTTTTTTTGCATGCAAATACCCTTCAATCACCAACTCCAACAACCCCATCATATATATATATATATATATATATATATATATATATATATATATATATATATATGTGTGATGGATGGAAATGTTCAATTTGATTACAGCCGACGTAGAAGAATCAGTCGGTGATGAAAATGAAAAAGTAGAAAACTTATGCACGAGGAAACCTATCATAACTCGAATAAGATAAATAAAAAAATAATAATTAATTAAAGTATAAGCGGTTTGAAAATTTCCCTTTTCTAAAATGATAGCATTAAGTTGGGGAAGCAAAGCATGGAGCTTAATAAGATTATTGACATGTAGTGAGGGGTCAAAAAGAGTAATAGGTGGGAAAGCATAAACTTGCCGGCGCTTGTGTTGTGTGTGGAGAGAACCTCCTTTGGCGGTTGACAACTATTTCAAGCTAGTCGGTGAAGAGAAAGAAAGATATATAGGTAGGAGCCGACCTGAAAACCTAATAAATTATAGTAGAAAATTTATATAGGTCTTTCTTATTTTTTTGGTACATATATAGATACGTGAGAATATTAAGTTAATTAACCAACTTGTCACGTTAAATTCCACCTCAGTTATATAATAGTATAGCGGCTTTTAAGCTTTTAGATGTTCTAATCAATAGTGTTAAGAACCTTGAGGTCACCACCCCAAAAGCTAGCTCAAGGGGTGGGAGTGGGCCTTATAAAGGCCATATTAGTTATCCATCCAATCAATGTGGGACTAATATATCTCAACACGCCCCCTCACGCAAGAGCCCTTTAGGCTAGAAGCGTGGAAATTGCACAGGCCCATTTTTGGTTTACCTTTTTGTGCTTTTTTTTATTTTAATTCCACTTTTTAAAGCGGGGGACGGTGAGGCTCTGATACCATGTTAAGAACCTTGAGGTCACCACCCCAAAAGCTAGCTCAAGGGGTGGGAGTGCCCAAGGCCTTATAAAGGCCATATTAGTTACCCATCCAATCAATGTGGGACTAATATATCTCAACAAATAGAAAGGGAATATATCCAATTACACCAAATTTGGTATGAGCCCACTCGGTCCCAGTTGGAACTATAGTTAACCATAATCAATTTGTCATCTAATACCTCAAATTATGTTCATCTTCTGTCCTAGATGATACACGAACTAGGGTAGTAAAAGTGGTAAACTAACCTGCCCTAGATAATACACAAGATTAAGTTCACATTCATATTTGTTTTAACTTGAAAACATTCCAATCGCACAATTTAGGAATGTGAGATATTTATCCAAAATTTTAGTGGGTAGAGGGGCAAGAGCACAAACACTGCACATGCACTTTAGTCTTCTGATTATACTTTATTGTTGATGCAAAAGGTTGTTATTTTTATACTCGTATGTAAGTTTTTGGGTAAGGAATGCTCTAATTCATAACCTTTGTAAAATGTTTTCATTTTTTTTTTATTAAATGACAAAATATTTTGTAAGTTTCATCTATGTACATTATTGTCCCTAAAATTAATTTCCGATTCTGACAATGGTTAAAAAGAAGTTTTAACTATTCTAAGTGGGGTACATGTCCTCATTGGTATGCCTAAATAACAACTCTTTTTTAGATATGTTTATTTTCTTATATAATAATAATATTTGTTACATGTTTTTTGTTTTTTTACACAGCTAGACAAAATGACCAATTAACAAGTTACAACTCGATTAAAAAATAATAATAATACTATATTCAGTTAACACGGCCAACAAATTTATAGGTACACTCCATGAAAAGGAGTGGCAAAAGATAGAACGCCCACTCTCCTCCTTGTAATAATGAACTTTCAGTTTTTGCTAAGAAATTATATTATCTTACACCGATACCGATATGAAATATACACTTTGATAAATTAGTTTTAAAAAATACTAAATTTTATATTAAGATGTGTTTTGATATTAAATAATATTTTTAATTTATGTTGTGTATATTGTAATTAATATTTAATAATTTAACAAAAAAATGAAACTAAACTTATAATACTCAACAATTTTGTAAAGAAACATAAGATATCTCAAATATTTATATTATACTCAATAAAATAGTAATCGTAATCCAACAATCTAATAGTTGGAATTAAAAACGCAACGCAGTATAACATTCGAATCCTTTTTTGAGTCTCTGCAACGTGAGTTGGAGTGTCGAAGTGTAAAAGAGTATCGGACATGACACGTCAGATTTTTTGAAGTGTCGGTGCATCATAAGTTATATCTACTAGTCGAATGCTCAATTTTTCTTTTAAAAAACTTTAATCTCATATGAATTGTCATAATTTTAATAGAATTAAAGGTGATTATTGACTCAAATAAAATAATGAAAATCATTTATCATCTAAAAAATTATATCAATTTATTATATTAAAAATTATAACAAAAAAGTTCTTGTAATCTAGAATTTTTAAAAAGTGATAACTTAAATTATTAGAAAATTTAAATTCAAGTAATAGTTAGGAGCCTTTCTAATGAGGTTTGATTCTTAGTTCGGAACCAATTAAAAAAATAATTTGCTTAATTATTTCTGTACAAATTATCCACTAATAATCTAGACAATTAACAGAGTTTTCGCAGGGTTTCTGAGTAATAAATTAAAAAAAATTGTTTTAATACGTTAATATAAACATCTAAAAGAAATAAAATCAAGCAGTTGTTTAAAAAATTATTTATTTTATCAAATTTTGACCGAATATGATTAAAAAAATAAACAGGTTCAATAGAATGCATGAAAGGTCGCGTTAATGGGATGATTTTTTTTTATAATTATCTGAATAACTAATACAATAATGTCACTAACACAAATTTCATTACGGTCAATTTTTTATCTTCCTTTCATTCATTTTTATTATTTATTAATAGCGGAAATCTCTTACATGAATTTTATACGTGAGCGGCATAATATATATATAACAAACTTTACCCATTAATTAATAACTTTCTTGGGTGCTACACCAAAATTACTTTTTTTTTTTTTCCAAGGTATCCTCCGGCCGACAGCCGAAGACTAATCATTTCGAGAATTCAAAGTTATACGGGTTAATTAAAATATTAATTTGTATAATATTCAAAGCATTTAATTTCAATGTCATTTATATAATAAATTAGTCTCTTATTCAATACTTTGTATCATTTATAAAAGATTCTGTAGAACAACTCATCATATTATTTAAATCACTGTTCAAAAGATCGCAATTTTTAACTCAATAGATGAAAATTTTCAATCATCACCTCATCCACATTTTTACTTTTCTTTCATCCATTCATTTATAAATATACGATGCCTTTGTCTATCTGAAAGTATATTTTCCATCCCATTTGTTATTTTCATTTCTTTGAATAATTATTATGTCCTTTAGAAGTTAACAATTATTCTTGATGAAAAGTTATTTTTCATAATATGGTCACTTTAAAAAGTCAAGGAAGGGATTTTTGTAGACAAGGTAAATTAATCATATTATTTGGAAACATAAAAGAGAATCATGTTCCACTCACAAACAACATCAGTACGTAAGTACAAATGAGGCCTTTTTATCGATTACAGCCAAATCAAAAGACAGTTCACTGTATTCTTTTGTCAAATTAGTTTCAATTTAATACGACCGAAATGTATATGGAGCAGTGGCGGAGCCAACCACATTGCTTCGGATCTGACTAATTTTTAAAAATTAGTTACATTTTAGAGATGCGTAAATAACCGTAGCTAAATTGAAGGGATAAAATTTAATGATTGGTATTAGTTATACTTTTTTGGCCCTGCCTCATTAATCTTATTGGCTTCGCCACTAATATGGAGAGCATGTGCATGTGCATATCATTTGAGTAACACGTTATGCGTGACTTGTGTAAAAATTTGCATTATAAAGATACGCATCTTGACAATATGCATTCAAGCTGTGTGTAACTAATGCCAAGTACCTGAAGCGGGTCAGCATGAGGCCCAAGTACCTGAAGGAATATGAAACCCATTAAGCCTATTAAGAAATATAATATAGCCATTGTCTTTAATTTTTACCATACCCATGTAATGAGGAGATTAGGACCAGTTGGTTAGGGCATACATAGTAATACATTACCAGATCATCTTATGTTTAGGCCCATACATGTAGGGCATATATGTAGTAGCAACGTAAATGAAATGGTTAACGAGGAATTTCCACATCTTTCTTCTTCTTCTTTATCTCTATCCTCTTCTTCTCCCTTCTGTTTCTTCTCAATCATCTGATTCTGGGTTTAAACCCTTACAATTTGGTGCTCTCGTTGCTTACTCTTCCCTCTCGGTAATGGCAGACAACACTCGCATGAGAGATGTTACGCAGCGGCTAGAATTGTTGGAACAGCAAACCCAACGTCTAGACATCCTCGAACAACAATTACGATCTGCTGAACTGGTTCGGGAACAACAATTTCTGGATCTCCAGGAATCTAATGCTCAATTACACCAGTCACAATCTCAGATACAGCAGGCAATTCAACTCCTCCTTGATGGTAATACTCGATTAGGTATTTTGGGTTCTGGGTCAGGTTCTGCGTCCAAATCCACTAGTTCTAATTCAGATCTGCATAAGTCCCATTCCATTAAACTTCTTTTTCCACATTTTACTGTTGGTGACCCTACCTCATGGTTATTTGCTGTTGACAATTATTGCCATTATTACAATATTGGTGAAGAAGACCGTTTATTAATTGTTTCATTTCATCTGGATGACCCTGTTGCTTGTTGGTTTAGAGGTCTTAGTGATGAGGGTTTACTCCCTACCTGGTCAGCATTTGTTACTACCTTCCATCGTTGTTTCGGTCCATCCGAGTTTGATGATCCCATTGGGACTCTAGCCAAAC